TCTCTTCATCCCGACAATCCTGATCACTCTGTCCAGCCTCAATCTCTTCATCCCGACAATCCTGATCACTCTGTCCAGCCTCAATCTCTTCATCCTGACAATCCTGATCACTCTGTCCAGCCTGGATCTCTTCATCCTCTGACTTTTATGGCAACAACGAACTTGAATCTCATTTTTCACCATTCCTCTGCTTCTGACGTCTTCCCTCCTTTCCCACTCACGTCTCCTCTAAGCATTCTCATTACCTAAGAGTCCTGCGTTTGGATCTTTACTTTCTCAGCCCCGCGTTTCTGCAAAGTCTCATTTGTTTGCACAGATTTAATCATCATCTTAATAGGATGATCTTCAAATCGATACATTTAATTCTGTGTACTAGATATCAGCACCTGAATATACTGCTGGCAAATTAACTGATTAAGTATAAAACCAAACTCATCATTATATTACTTCCCAAATCTGTTGCTTCTTCTGACTTCCTTATTTCTTTTCCCGGAACAACACTGACCATGGCATGGCAAGTCCATTAGTTGCCAACTCATTTAAAAAGTCATCCAACAATCAGTTAGCAAGTATCCACTATATGGTCAGCACTGTTCTCAAGAGTGAAGTATAAACTCATTTATAAAAGATATAACTTGCGGGGGAAGGAATCCAAGGTAGATCTAGATGCAGCAGATGTTTAGTATTTGGTCCTGCCAACAAGATGAAGCTAGGAAAGAAAAGACTTTGAACAAAGAGAATTCCTGGCTTAAACAAAATTAAATAGGTAACCAGAGTCATTTAGGTCCGGTGTTTCATTTACCCTTACAGGTATGGCATGTGATAATCCTCACAAAAGCGAGAAAAAACAATGACTTCTTGAGGAAAAGCGAAGCCATGACAAACGGACCAGAAGTGAGCAGCAGTTCCATTCAAACAGAGAACCAGACTAGACAACGGAGTGAACTGTGGCTGCAGACCAGAAAGCAAATGTATGCACCCGCACAGAACAGAGGTTACAGAAGCAACAAAAACTGGGGGGGCGTGTAAGTGCGTTCATCCGATCGTTTCCTCCTTCTGAGCAGGGAAGGAATCAGGATGTGAAACCGAAACTTGCAATTTAGTAACAAACATAATGAATCCAACCTCTTACCATAATCTTTTTTTCTTAATCTTAGAGGGACCTTTAAGACATATGTTTATTTTATGTTGAAAAAACAATTATCTAAAGGTCAAATTTTCCTTCAGTTTCTTTTAAAAAATGAATTGACACTTTCATTTAAAACAACACCATGCATACAATGAATTCCATTCCTATGAATTTATTACTCTTTACCCATCTACCTATCCACTCACCCATCCAGTAGATATGCACTGAGATGTAAGCACTGAAGACCATATTTATGCAGTGGGATTTGGGTGAATTGTTTTCTATACTGTTTTGACTTTTTTATAAAAGCATATGCTGTTTTCATAAATATAAAGTCAACACTATAGTAACATAAAAAAAAATTGGCATAGTGGTGCTTACAAAAATACCTCAAGGGGGAGGGAGCTGCTGGCAAACAAACGTAGAAGGGGCACGCTTCATGCGTAAAAACTACGTTATAGCCAGAGTTACTACTTGTTCTTCAGATTCAATTTACAGTTCCTGAAATGTACGTCTGGTTACAACTGCAGGAGTTAACTACCCACAGTGGATGTCATGGATAGAACTGTGTCCCCAAAACTGTGTGTCAACTTGGCTAGGCCACGATTCCCGGTATTGTGCGGGTGTCCTCCATTTCATGATTTAATGTAATTATCCCATGTGTTGTAAATCCTAACGTCTAAGATGTTAATAAGGCAGAATTAGAGGCAGTAATGTTAACGAGGCAAGACTCACTCTACAGGATTAGGTTGTATCTTGAGTCAGTCTCTTTTGAGACATAAAAGAGAGAAGCGAGCAAAGAGAGGAACCTCATTACTACCAAGAAAGAACGGCCAGGAGCAGAGCGTGTCCTTTGGACCTGGGGTCTCTGTGCCTGAGAAGCTCCTAGACCAGGGGAAGACTAATGATAAGGACCTTCCCCAGAGCTGACAGAGACAGAAACCTTCCCCTGGAGCCAGCGCCCTGAATTCAGACTTCTAGCCTTCTAAACTGTGAAAGAATAAATTTCTGTTTGTTAAAGCCATCCACTTGTGGTATATCTGTTATAGCAGCTCTAGGTAACTAAGACAGTGGATGAAAAGCAAACCTTACCCCACTCCACATTCCTTTTTTTAAATAAGTCATTTCTTTGGCCTGAAAATAGTCTCCCACCTTACAGTTATAAAAACACATCTTTTCAAAACCTTGTGAATATCCATTTACTCCTAGGAATCTTCAACCGCTGGGCAGAGCATGACCTTAAAATATCCCTAACCTTCAACATGATCAAAATGTCATTCATCAAATACACACGCCCAGGTTATGAAAATGGAGATACAGAGAAGGTTTTCACGGTATCTTTTTGCTGGTTTTATCCCCCTCTATCTTGTTAGGAAGCCCTGCTGGCTCAGTGGTTAAGAGCTCAGCTGCTAACCGAAAGGTTGGCAGTTCCTTGGAAACCCTATGGGGTAGTTCTAGTCTGTCCTAGGGTCGCTATGAATCGGAATCAACTCAACGGCAACTGATGTGAATAATACCAATATCTGCAATGGGGCCACCATTTTATATAGTGTCACAGGGCACCCTGTGAAGTGGGCAAGCAGAGCCACAGACAACAGATACAGCTACAAACAAAACAGAATTCATGTGCATATAATTAAAGGGCTGGGCACACTGATAAAAATGGTTTCCAAAAGTATTGGTAGTACCATCTGGAAACACAAACACTCATTGTGTTACTAACGTTGGGGAAGGGTTAGCAACTACACTTCAGGTAACTGCCACATCAGAATATAATTTAGGTTTAGGAGGCATAGCTAGAACTCCTCGTTTCCCCAGTTGCCACTGAGTCGATTCCAACTCGTGGCAACCCCATGTGTGTCAGAGTAGAGCTGTTTTCCTCAGGGTTTTCAATGGCTGTGACCTCTGGGAAGCAGAATGCCAGGTCTTTCTTCCGGTGCACCTCTGGGTGAATTTAATCCGCCAACTTTTCAGTTAGTAGCCAAGTGCTTAACCATTTGTGCCACCCACAGACTCCATAATAACAGACTTTTAAATAAAAGTTGCTTAGTACCCTGCCACAAAGCAAACTTTTATTCAGTTTATAATGAGAATAATAAATGCATCTGGCGCATGAATACTTTGCATAGATTATATTATTTAATATATGAAAAGCATTTAACACACTGCCTGACACAGTAAGTTTTCAATAAATGTTAGCTATAATTACTGTTAATATTTAATCCTACCAACAACCTTATGTGGGGATATATGCCATTTAAACATGGCTGCACTACTGACAACTGCAGCCCCCACAGGCCTCTATGCTGCACAGCATGTTGAGACTCGTCACCACTTGTTTTCCCAAACCTATTGTCCGTTTACTGATTGGCTTGTTTACCTGAATTCCTTCTCCCTTGCCCACATCCAAAGTGCATTGTTCTGCTATTTGCTTCACTGCTTGCTGTACTGGCTATAAATAAACTCCTGGAACTGAAGCCGGGGTCGACTCCTCAGACTCCTGGCCCCACTTCTCTGTAAGAGTTGTGTTTCGTTACTGCCTCCGCCGCCCCGACATTCGCCACCACTGCGACAGATGGTGCCCCGTGTGAGGGGCTGCGACAACCTTACAAAGTAGAAATGATCATCATCCCTGCTGAGGCCACTCTGCACAGATGACTGTGGGGAACATACTGCATTTTACGCAAATAACACGGCCTTCTATGTTTGTTTGCCAACCACTCGGCTCCTGCAAGGTATTTTCACAAGCACCACCATGCTAATTTTTTTCATATGTTGCTGTAAAAAGAATTAGCATAGCACACTTATGAAAATACCTCGCCTAGGGAGGGAGCGGTTGACAACAAACATAGAATCTCCATGTTATTTGCATAAAAATACAGTACTTAAAAATGAGAGGTATCAGTCCCTAGTATCAAACTAGTTAAAGAGACAGAGACAGAGAAAGAAAAAGGTTATACCATTTAAAAAGGTCAACTACAATGCAAAGTCCTCAATGCGGAACACCAAGTATCTAACACAGACTTTACCTGCTACAGCAGTTAGAAGGAGCACAGGGCAGAACACTGGGCGGAACATGATGGGTGGAACACGATGGGCGGAACACGATGGGCAGAAGAAAGGCTGAGAAAAGGAGCCGGCACCTAACCTGTGCTAGTATGCTGAATAGGAGTCTCACCTTCATTGGTGGATACTTGTGATAAGGAGCTGCCCCTGTGGCCAGCTCAATTGCTGTGATCCCAAAACTCCAGATGTCAGCTTTGAAATCATAGCCTCGGACCTGCAAAAAACAGAGAGACGTGTATGATTATTTTTCCAGCCCCAAAACACTTTCAAAGCTAGCTTCTAATATGCATTAAGAACCATGGAAGTGCTCACAAGCTTTAAACCAATAAAATAATTTAAAATAGGCAAAAGCTAAGAATACTAGCTAATAGCAAAAAACAAAAAAAACGGCAACCCCAATGTTTACCAAGAATAAGGAAGTGGTTAAGAAGGGTATGCTCACTTAAAGGAGTATTACATAGTCAGCTAAAAGCAATGTTCATGAATTCTACGAAAATAGAGAAAAAAGCTTGTGATAAAACACTTACTATGAACAAAGGAACAGGAAACTGTCCACAAGTTCTGACACAATTACAAACAGGTATACAGTCTATTAAAAAAAGACTAGAAACAACTAGAACAAAATGTTTGGCAGTGGTACTAAGTTTCTTTTTTCCAAAATATTCTGTACTATGGTGTTGTTTTATCACCTTAACTTTTATAATGAAAAAAGTTACAAAGAGGTAGCTTCTTAAAAGAGTTGAAAATTGAAAATAGATAAAAGCAAAAGGAAAAATCAAAGTTGCTTCTTTACGCCTTTTCCACGAACCTTAAAACTCAGTGAGAGAATTAACTGGTGGTAAAGAGCCCTTTCTTTCAACAAAAACAAGTAAGCTTTGCAGCAGCAGGACCCAGCGGAAAACAGGTGCCTTCTGTATCCGAGCGGTAGCTAGATTCTATTCTAGAATCTCTGAGAAACTTGCCACGGCTGCTTACTCTGTAAAAACCACAGGATAAACTTGGCAAAACACAAATAAGGAAAACACCGTCTGCAACTCCTCCGACAGCCGCCCCACCGTGGTCCTTCTCTGACTCAAGCCAGGTTCCTATCAGCTACAATGCGTGGCTACGTGTTCATAAATTCAGAACCTGAGCGGGTAAAACTGACAGAGCAGAACTCAGCTTACGGTCTGAAATGCACTACGACAAAACGTGCCTTATACATGCTCACGTCAACTTCTTTGTGTTTGCTGCTGCTGCTGGTTTGGGTGCTGTAATTATTTTTTCAAAAAATTTTAAGGCATATTACGAGAGTGGGGAGGGAGGGTGAGAGTTATTTAGTACTAGATAGTAGATAAGAATTATCTTAGGTGAAGGGAAGGACAGCACACACTACAGGGGAAGTCAGCACTACTGGATTAAGCCAAAGCTAAGAAGTTTCCTGAATACAATCAAACAGTTTGAGGGACAGAGTAGCAGGGGTAGGTGTCTGGGGGACCATGCTTTCAGGGGACAGCTAGGTCAGTTGGCATAACGAAGCTTAGTAAGAAAATGTTCTGCATCCTATTTTGGTGAGTGGCGTCTGGGGTCTTAAAAGCTTGCAAGTGGCCATCTAAGATGCATCAATTGGTCCCAACCACCTGGAGTAAAGAAGAACAAAGAACACCAAAGACACAAGGAAAGTAGTAGCCCAAGAGACAGAAAGGGCCACATAAACCAGAGACTTCATCAGCCTGAGACCAGAAGAACTAGATGGTGCCCGGCTACCACCGATGACCACCCTGACAGGGAACACAACAGAGAGTCCTGGATGGAGCAGGAGAAAGGTGGGGTGCAGAACTCAAATTCTAGTAAGAAGACCAGACTTACTGGTCTGCCTGAGACTGGAGGAACCCTGGAAAGCACGGCCCCTGGATTCTCTATCAGCCCAGAACTAAAACAATTTCCAAGGCAAACTCTTCAGACAGGGATTGGACTGGACTGTGGGACACAAAGGGATACTTATGAGGAGTATGCCTCTTAGCCCAAGTAGATACAACAGACTGAACGGGCAGCTTCTGTCTGGAGGTGAGATGGGAAGGCAGAGAGGGTAAGGATCTGGTTGAATGGACATGGGGAATCAAGGGTGGAAAGGATGAGTGTGCTGTCACAGAATGGGGAGAGCAATCAGGGTCATAACAATGTACATATAAATTTCTCTATGGGAAAAAATTTTTTAAAAAATTTTAAGGCATAACATATGGTAAAGTACACAAACCCTAAGTATATATAGCTCAATGAATTTTTACCTATATAAAAGGTATAGAAGTAATTTCTTTTCTAACTTCTACCTCATAGACTAGTTTTGCCTGTTCTTGCATTTCATATAAATGGCATCATACGTCTCAGTCTATTTTCAACACAGCAGCCAGAGGGACCTAGCTCAAGTATCAGTCAGATCATATCAATTCCTCTGCTCAAAACCCTCTAAAGGCTTACTATCCCACTCATAGTTACAGGAAAAACACAAGGCCTACACGATCACCACCACCCACCCCTATCAGAGCCACCACCTCTGTGACCTCACCCTTGCTATTCCCCTAGTTCACGCCTCCCTCCCCATCAACACTGGCCTTCTCACTGCTCCGTAACAGACCAGGAATGCTCTACCTCAGCCTGTGTTCTTGCTGGTCCTCTCCTCAGCATGCTGGTACCCTCACCTCTACCAGGTCTATTCAGCCATCATTTCGGCCACCCTATCTTAAATTGCAAACCCCTCCACTCTACCTTTCCTGCTTTTATCTCATTCACACTCATCACTATCTGCCATACTATTTATTTTCTTATTTGCTCCCCCAGCAGAACTGAAGCTCTAAGGGGCAAGGTTTGGTCAGTTTTGCTCACACTACGCGGCCAACACCTACCTAGGAAGGTGCTCAGCACACAGCAGACACTCTATAAACACTTAGGAGCTGAGTAAATGAGGATAAGGCCGAGAAATCCACAGGGAGAAGAGAAAAACGGATCCAAGTATATATCAGAAAATCACAGGGGAAAGACTGAAATATACAAACTATATTGGGAAAAAAGATTAACTAAATAAAAAATTAAGCTGTTTTCATACCATAATAGATTACACCAATTAAAAAAAAAACTAGCAGAAAATATAGGTAATATTCTCTAATTTCAATGTAAGAAGGGCCTTTTTAAGCATAAAAGTGATAAAAAACATAAATAAACTGACAAGAAAAAAATTAAAATCATATACAAATAAATCACACAAAGTTAAAATGCTAGTTCTGAAATAATATTCGTAACACCCTTATTTTGAGACTGCATATAAAGCAATAAGTAAAGGAAAAACAATCTAATATAAACACGGTCAAGTGAGAGAACAGGGGATTCAGGAAAGAAATCACCAGTAAACTTGTTCAATTTCTACAGCAACAAAGAAGGTACCAGTTAAACGCTGATCTTCCCGATTCACCCAGCAAAATGACAAAGATAAATTAAAATTCATACTCATACACTGTGCTGGTGGCAGTATAAAAGGCAACATGCACACACAGAAACTTTAAAAATATTCACACCTTTTGATGCTACAATTTTTCCTCTCCATACATTAGAGAACTATAAGCCTTAGGAAAATGCTAACAATACATTGTTAGGTAAGAAAAAGTTGCATTAAAAAACAGTATTTTTTATTCTAATTTTTGTTTTAAAGTACATGTATATGTGTGTGTGTGTGTATACATATACATATATATATATATATATGTATACACACACATGTATATAATGTAGGTTTTTCTGGGGGGAACTGGAGAGAAAACAACAAATCTAACTTTCTTCAAAAGGCACACTGAGGGCCTGAAATAAGTTGGTAACAAGGAATATATTATTCAAACGACGTTTCAAGGAGGAGCTCTGACTATGTGGCTAGACAAGGGAGGCAAGAGGGAAGAGAAAGTCCACACTGACTTCTACTTTTCTACCTTAAGCAACACAGGAGAAGTAGGTTTTGGGGGAACAACGGTTAAACACTCATCTGCTAACTGAAAAGTTGGCAGTTCAAACTCACCCAGCAGCTTCACAGGAGAAAGGCCTGGCAACCTGCTCGCATACAGCCTAGAAAACCCTATGGGGCAGTTCTGCTCTGTCACATGGGGTCACTATGAGTTGAAACTGACTTGTCGGCATCTAACAACAGGTTTTGGGGGTGAAAAATGAATTCAGTTCTGAATATACTGAGTTCTATGTACCTATGCGACGTCATATAACGTATCGACAGGGAGTTGGAAATCTCTCTGGAGGCTGAGGAAACACGACTGGACTGAAGTGATTAGTCAGTGGAAAGCACAGATGAGAACATCTAGTGAATATGCAGAGTCAGAGAAAAGGAGACAGTATCATTTCAGAGTAGGAGGGGACCAGAGAAGAAGTCAGAAAAGTGGCCTGACAAGTAGGAGAGTGAGCAAACAACACTGGGGACACTGAGGAAGAGAGCCAAGGTGGGGCTGGTCGACAGCTTCAGGTGCCACCAGGAGGCCAAGCAAGGTGAGACTAAGAAGGGAGCGCTTGCATCAAGGAGCAGCAGAGTTTCTGTAAATTGATGGGGATCTCTGACACCAGACCGACCAGTCTTCCCAGAAGCACAGCAACGAAACTAGCAGTGAAAAGACTAGCCCATTTTATTTGTATTGAGGGAATTATTATTAAAACAACACTGATATATTATCCCTTAGGTTGTCTTTGGTAGAAATCCTGAGTGTTATGTCCTTTATACGGTTCTAAAGTTTTGTCTGTTTTTCTCAGGGGTGAATCAAAGTCTCACCCATGGAAGAGAGACATGCATTTTCCAAAGCTAACCTGGAATGCCGAACAGGAGCCAACACTACTCAGTCTTTTCATTTTTGTAACAAAACCCCAAACCATTTAAAACAAGCAAAAGACACGCACCTGCTCCATGACTTCGGGTGCCATCCAGCAAGGCGTGCCCACGAAGGTCTTCCTCACTTTATTTCGTGTAATATCACCACCAGTTGCTAAAAACGCACTAACCCCAAAGTCTGAAATAAAACAAAACAGTACAATCACTGCTCGCGAACAGAAAGAAAAATAGCAGAATGCAGTCCAAGTCCTGTACACAAACAAGATAAAGAGCATGACATTTTCTCTTCTTCCTGCTGAACTTTTTCACTTAATCAGGACAGTGCTTAATGGGTCCCTCACTCCACCCCTCTTCACCCCACACATCATCTCCTCAGATTCTCCTCCTTGCTGCAATCCATTCCACATACCACCACCAGGTTGGTTGGTTTTAGTATCACTTTGACCATAGTCCTCTCAGCTCAAAAACCTTCTATATCTTCTTACCCTACTGAATAAAATCCAAACATCTTAGCTTGGCATTCAAAAAGCTTTCAAGAACCTGGCCCCAAATAAATTAAGAGTTAGTAATCCGAAACTCATATCCTAACCCGACCACTCACCAGATGTGTGACACTGGAAAACTCAGTTCACCTCTCTAAGCCTCAGGATTTTCCCTACAAAGATTTTATCTCAAAATAGTGAAGCCCAAGTAGTAGTCACCAACAGGGAGGACTGCTTTTCTCCCACGATTCCTCCAGCTCTGAGAACTGCCAGGGCATGTATCTGCACTCTTTGGCCGTGACCTTGGGCCATAGCGGATTTGAGCCAGAGTTAGTCACCCTACCCAATCTGGGCCAATCACAGTCTGTCCTCGGAATCTGAAGCTTGAATGGGAAGACATGCAAACTGAGGGTCCCGGAGCTGAGTCTAAGGGCAGCAACCTGGAAGGCAAGTTACCAGCAGGACCAGGTTCTTGCCCATCCTGAAGCTTAGCTGCTGAGTTCATTCTTGTGCTTCTGGGTACTCAGTACAGTTCAGAGGATTTCCTTTCTGTCTAAGTGAGGCAGTGATATTTCTCAAGCAATCAAAGAACCTTAACTAACACACTGAGGTTTTTATATGGTAGTCTGATGCCTCTCTTGCTTTTTGTCTGTTTCAGAATATTCCTCAGGGTGTAAAATGGGTCTATATTTGAAAATAGAATACATTATGGACAAACCCAGTGTAAGAAGGATGGTTTTAGCACTGCAAACTTTAAGCTTCAAGAAGTCTATAAATTCAGTTCATCTTGAAACAGCATGTCACCATGTAAAACAGCAAGTCCATACAACATGGATTTTTAAAAAATGATCTTAATGGTTCTCAACGCTCTGAAGCTGGCAAATGTCTAGATACTTTACAGTGCTGCTCCATTTGTAACAACAACAACAAAAAATTTTAAAAGTACATTCTACTACGCCCCCCAGACACACTGCTAACTCAGAACTGAAGCCACTCCCAAAGCCCACCTTTCAGCCAATGATTAGAAAGGCCCATAAAACAAACAGTACACGTGAGGAACGTGCTTCTTAGTTCAGTCAAGTCTACGAGACCAAACGGGCAACACCTGTCCTAAAGCAAAGAGGAGAGGGCACGAAGGGACAGGAAAACTGGACGAATGGACATGGGAACCCAGGGTGGAAAGGGAAAGGGGAGAGTGCTGACACATTGCAGGGACTGCAACCAATGTCACAAAGTAATTTGTTTAAATTGTTTGAATGAAAAACTAAATTGCACTGTAAAGTTTCACCTAAAACACAATAAAATAAAATAAAAAAAAATCGTGTTGATTTAGGCCACTAAAACAGTAGGAAACTGCACAGATACAAACCCGGTAAAGGCAGAGTCTAGCTCTGACCCCTGGTCACCCCAGTCCAGGCCTCCGTCTGAACCCCCTACTGTACCACCTCTGCAGAATGACATCAAAGGTCACCTGGTCCCCTCTCCCGCCTCCAGACCAAACGGCCTGCATAAGTCACATTTCTTCAGCCCCTCATGTGCCAAATGGGAATGCCATCTGATGCCTGGCCATTATCACCCGCAGGGCAGGTATGAAAACCAAACCAGGTAACCAAAATAAGACCAGCTGCCAACTCATGGTGACCCATGTGTTAGAACAGAACTGTGTCCTACAGGGTTTTCAATGACTGTGATTTTCCAGAAGTAGATTGCCAGGCCTTTCTTCTGTGGTGCCTCTGGGTAGATTCAAACCACCAGATTTTTGGTTAGCAGATGAGTTGAGGAAGTCTGAATCTATTCATCAAAGTACAGTATTTAACACACTGACTGTACCATAGCTAATGTTGTAGTTAGCCCACTAGATATACAAGGAGTGGATTCTCTTAGAGGCAAGAAAAGTATCTGTTTCTCTCTTGCATACATTTGTGGAAGTGAAAACTAAATAAATTATACACTCTCTTTACCTATTTTATTGTAAAATGTTAGAAAGGTATTATTACAAAACACACTGAGAAATGTATCAAACATAAACATGCAACTGAATGGACTGGTATAAAACATACAACCCCGTAATCAACACCGAAGCCAATAAAAACCTTGCCAGCACCACAAAAGCACCCTGTCTACCCCATCGAGCCATAACCTCTGTATTACCTCTCTGTCCCCACTAGCAATAATCACTCTGTTGGCTTTTACGGGATTCATTCCCTTGCTTCTCTTTAGTTTACCATCTAATTTTGCACTGCTAAACAATACAGTATAATTGTGCCTCGTTTATATAAATGGAATCCCACAGTATATATATTGTTTGGACTGGCTTGTTTTACCCTATATTATGTTTTTATGATTTACTAAGGTAGTTGCATGTAGTTTTAGATCTATTCATTTTCATTGCTAATAAAAATGAATATTATTAATTTATTATGATTACTCAACTCATTATTATTCAGCACCATTATTCAATTTATATATCCGTTCTACTAATAAAGGGCATTTGGACTGTTTCAAGCTTTTTGGTAATTATGAATATTAGGGCACACGTACGTGTGAGTTTCTCTAGGACACACATCTAGGAATCAGAGTGTTAGGGTGTCATATCTTCAACCTTAATAGATAAAGTGGTTACACCAGTTTATATTCTCACCATCAGAGAATGAGATTTTTTTCCCTTGCTTTACACCCACACACCAATAATTGGTATTGTCCAACATTTTCTGCCAGGCAAATCAGTATAAAGTGGTATCCCAATGTAATTTTACTTTGCACTGAATGGATTATTAATGAGGTTGAGTACCTTTTATTGTATTTACACTTGGATATCTTTCATTTGGGAAGTGTCTATGTCAGCTTTCTGTCCTTTATTTGGATTATCTTTTTTAATGATTTTATTTTTTGTTGTTGCTGAGAATATACACAGCAGAACCTACACCAATTCAACAATTTCTACATGTACAATTCAGTGACATGGATTACATTCTTCGAGTTCATTCAACCTCCTTTTCTGAGTTGTTTCTCCCTCATTAACAGAAACTCACTGTCCCTTAATGTTCCCATCTATTCTTTCGAGTTGCTGTTGTCAATTTGATCCAATATAGATAGACCTTAAAATAGCACAATGCTCAAAGCTGACATTCTTTACCAGATAAGCTAAACTATTGTTTAGTTTTAAGAAGACTTCAGGGGATTTTTTTTTTTAGCTTAAGGTTTAAAGATTATCTCAGTGTTCATCCAGCCTCCACGACTCCAGATTATCTGACTTTTTCTCAATGAATGTTTTACATATTCTAAATCTGAGCCCTTTGTCAGTTATTCTTACTGCAAGTATCTTCTCCAATCTGTGGCTTACCCTTTTACTCTATTAATATGACAGACCTTCTGTTCCTCTGTTAATGAATAGGAGTTGCTAATATGAGAACAGCCAATTTTATTAATCTTTTCCTCTGTTGGAGCTTTGTGTGGCTTGGGTAAAATATTCCCTTACCTGGAGGACAGAAAGATGTCCACCTAAACTATCTTCTAAAAGCTGAAGAAATAATTCAAGGTTTAGGTAATTATCTTCCTTCTGCTCAGACACCTTACTGTTCTAGCACAGTGGGACCAAGGATTTCTCAGCCACCCAGATGACCTGCTAGCCAGACAACAATCCCTGGAAATAGCCATTCAGGAGCCTCGGCTGGGAAGAGGGGGTGTTTCACTAGGGGGCACACCCCTGACTGACACTGGGCTCCAACTCTGTCCCTCCAGTTCCGTGACTCTGCCAAAGTACACTTCCACCTCCCAGGTGCCTCTTCGAACTGGCAAATCCTCCTCCTTACGGGACAGAAGTAGCTCTGATCACCTCTCCATAGCACGTTTGCCCTCAAATTCAATGAGGATTCTTGACGACTTCTCCTCCAAAGGGAAGTACAGACTGCTATGAAAATCCATAGCAGAAGACCTTAACCAGGGTAAGGAGTAAACAACTGGAAGACAATGAATAATGGTCGGAAAAACTCTAAGATCAGACATGAAGGAGGAGCAGCAGACGATATCTTGAGTCAGCAGGGATGTGTCAATCAATGTAGGACGCTCAAATGAAGCAGAGATAGTCCAAGGAACAGCAAAGAAAACTAAGGAAAACATAGAAAATAAGTAATGTGGCCAATCACCATTAAATCAGAATAATAATAAAGGGACAGTAAATCATTACCTGCGATTTGTACTGAGCCGTCTTCTCCAAGAAGAATATTTCCAGCTTTCACGTCTCTTCAAAAAAAAAAAAAAAAAAAAGAGTTACATATCAAAAAATTTCTATTTTTGAAAAAAAAATATTTTTGAAATCCCATCTAAGCAATTGTTTACTCAAACAACACTGGCAATATTTAAATTTTCTATTTTGCAATATATTATGGCCAAAAGTAAAATCTAAAAAATTGAAGTCACTTGTACCAGAACCTAAACATTAAACAGAAAGCTACAAAATAAGACATAGCTTCTTATGGCAATATCTAGAAAACCCAAGGTAACTGAATACTCTTGATTGGGATAATAGTGGCCAAAGAATGTGATCCTCATCTATTTTTACTTTTTGAAATATAGTAATTTTTTTTCCTACACCCCAACATATGATCACTTTGTTTAAATGATCAACATGCAGTTGAAAATAGGGACTCTCTGTGCCTGTAGCATAAAGAGAGGTAAAAATTATTCAGACACTGTTTTAATTGCTGACTGTAACAACTCAAGTAATACATGAACACTTTCTTGTTATAAAATCCTAAGCATCACTAAAAAAGTCAGTCTCTTTGACCACCTTTCTCAAGTTCAGCATTCTCTCCAAAGTTTCAAACTGATCACTCTGATGAAAAGTATGTGCCTATGATACAGCTAAGGCCCCTGGGTGTACAGATGGTTCGTGACTGGTTGCCAACCTAAAGGCTGGTGGTTTGAACCCACCCGCCTGTAGAAGAAAGGCCTGGCCATCTGTTTCCACGAAGATTACTGTCAAGAAAACCCTACTCGGTAACACACAGGGTCGCCATGAGTTGGAACTGACTCAATGGTAATGGGTTTGGGTTTTTTTTTTATTTTTGTTATGACATATGACACCCAGGAGCCCCTGGGTAATGTAAACAGTTAATGCACTTGGCTGCTAACCGAAAGGCTGGAAGTTCAAGTCCACCCAGGGGCGTCTCGAAAGAAAGGCCTGTCTGAAAAATCAGCCATCAAAAACCCTATGGAGCACAGTTTTACTCTTGACACACGTGGGGTGGTCACGAGTCGGAGTCGAGTCAATAGCAACCAGGTAGTTGGTTAGTAGGACATACATGGAGTTTTTTCTTTCAACATAAATGATACTACTTGCTTTTTTTCATGCAACGTTTCAGTAGCATCTGGGAAAATTAAAAAAAAAAACCTTAAATCCTATCAGAGCAAACCACTTCTTGATAACCTAGAGAAACTCTCACAACATACATACAAGGAATGCACAGGGTTCACTGCAGCACTGTCTGAAATAACAAAAATGGTGACAACCCAAATAACCCACACTCACAGAAAGGTTCAATAAATTCAGCTACATCCATGAAATGAAATCAGGTGATGTGAAATGCCTTCCAACACACACTGGTAAGTGAAGAAATCAAATAGCGAGATACCACATTTTGTACAACACTGTTAATGTTACACCTTTCCATACACAAATGGAGAGCAATGGTTACTTCTGTGGAAAGGAGTGAGACTCATGTCATGGACAATGCTGGAATATCTTACGGGAATGTACTCATGTATTCATTTTTAAATTAAAAATAAAAATAATTAAATCAACAAAAGAAAGGCAGCCCTTGAGGTTGGACGAGAAAGAAAAGCAAGCACAGCTCAGGGAGAAGGGCCACATCTGTCAGGAAAAGGAGTCACAGAAAAGCACAACACTGCCCTGTCTCTGTCCTCTTTTTCCTCCATCCTTAGACGCACTTCTTGGTAAACAACAACAACAGTTTCACGTCAGTGCATGGCAGCATCACCATACCACAGTACACAACGCAGAAGAAGGCAATCACCTTCAGGAGTTATGCTGTACTACTGATAAACCCAAGCAACGTACAGGACGTCTTCCCAGAGGCTGACTGAGGAGAGGGGAAGGCAGCCAGCACTGCTCTGACGCTGGATGCCGCCAACAGGAGGCACTGAGGACATTCTCTTTCCTTAGTGACAAAGACCATCCAACTGTGCCCACCACTAACTGCCAACAACGTCTGCTGTGCTCACCTGGAAGGACATCTACAACCCAGTGAAATCAACAGTGTAGCTGAGTCACTTCCTCCTCTGTGTTTCTGCAGCAGGCTGTAACACAGGGTTAGCACAGCAGGATCATCCTTTTGGATCTGTCTCCCCCACTTTACCGAGAGCAAGACCTTGGCCTGTATCTTAACATACTTCTGCATCACTGCACTTACTTACATGGTTAGGGCATAGGAGGTATTTCCCAGATATTCATCAAACAGATTTATGTGACTAAATAAGAGGAAACCTGTTTCATATCCTCTTCTGGAAAGAAGTGAAGAATAAAAAACCAAATAAAAACAGACAACGCCAACTGAACACTAAAAGGAAACTAGACAGTCGCCAGCCCCCGCTCCCCCTTCCCAATCCCCACTCTCCGCCTCCCAGTGTTAGGGGTATAAACTAACACGCTGCAGTCGGAGAGAGAGCACAAACTGACCACCCATCAGCAGGAGACTCGTTCGGCTCTGTGCATCTACGTAACGCCATGAGGCTTACCTAGATGTGCTCGTAGGGAACAATCTCCAACTACACTCTTAAGGGAAAGAGCAAACAACACAGAGTATGTTGCCATCCGTGCCTTTCTTTAAGTGGAAGGGGGGACACATACACCACAGTGAGACCCGTGAGCTGGAACTTGACAGGACTGCCTTCTTTTTCAGGTTTTGCAAGTTTTCCACCTTTGGTAGAGTGCGGTCTTACCACTTTTCTATCTCTTGTTTTAGCAGAAAATACCTGAGTTTTCCTTCTCTGATGGGTTTCCACCTAACACAGGTTCCGGCTTTTGCAGGTTTTACTGTATATTTATATACGCATAAAATATCCCTCAGAGGGGTCACAAGAAAATTAGTCTGGTACTTCTGCCTAATTAACGAACCGGTAACGTCTACAGTGAATCCAAACGCCCTCGGCTTTTCCTGGGGTCTCTCACTGTTCTGGGACCCTATTCACATTATCACATTACGCTTAGTCATCACGTCACCTCAGGCTCCTCTTGGCGGTGACCGTTGATCAGACTCTCCTTGTTTTAGACGACCCTGACCATTTTGCGTACTGGTCAAGAATTTTGTAGGATGCCTGTCTATTGGGGTATGTCTGATTTTTCTCATGATTAGATTGATATTATGGGTATTGGGGAAGAAAACCACGGCAGTGAAATGCCATTTTTATCTCCTCATATCAAGGGTACATAGTATCAGCACGATACATCTCTGCTCATACCGAGAGGACTTTTTACCAGACACTAGTTTGTATCGTTTGAATTCTTCTAAACCACGTATGCGTGTCACCTACTCAAATAATTTTTCATAAGTTTTTGTCTTTCATATGTGAAAATAATCAATTTCAGTACAGCCTGCAGTCTGGGTGACTACTTTTCCTCATCAATTCCCTAGATAATCCATGTTTCCCCTTTAAAACCAAAAGTGCACTCTGTACACCAGCTTCTGGGAATTAAAGCCAAGGAATATCGCGAAGCCCGACAGTTCACCAGAGAACAAGCCTTCCTCATCTGTCCTCACACAAGATAGGGCAACTGAGCTTGTCAGGGAGACGACTGCTAAGTAAATACCTGGAAATCAACCCAGTCCTCGGTTAAAAAATCTTTTCTTCTCTGCCACAAAGATTGTTAAGCAGCTCAGCAGCCACAGAGGTCAAATCCTCCATCCACTCAGCAAGTAGAAGAACAATGACTTTCTGTCAAGACAGTTCACTGTCACTTCTCACACATCCCCGCTGTCCTAAAGTCACACATTCCTCTTGAAGTTAAGAAGAATGTCACAGCTGTGCTTGACTTTCTCATGAGTACACAACACATCAATAGGCACGGCTTATGGGAAACGTGAAAAAAGACCAAGAAAAGCAATGAATCAAAGCCAGAGCTAGAAAATACACTAACTCAGACATCTTAAACTGACTTAAAATATCCAAAATTTCTGTTACAGTTAACCTCTTTGTAATGGGAGAAAGACCTGAGGAGGTAGATTCAGAGAGAAAAAACCTAAGTCTAATTTAGGGAGCCTTCAATCCTGCCCAAAGCCTCTGAAGTCTAAAAGTTCCAGGGGGAAACAATATAGAGATGGAGGGAAATTATGTGACCTGATCCACCACGCTAATACGGAAACAGACCTGAATTAACAAGTGGACTTTAAAGATACGAGAAGCTGAAAAACCTATTAAAAAATATTCTTCTCTACTTTCCAATAAAACAACGTTCTCCTAAGCCAGTTAAAGCCTCAGTGTGTCTAAGAATTGGTTGCTGCTAAGGTATAAGGAGTGGCTCTCAGCTCTGGCTGCACGTTAGAATCACTCAGGGGAGCTTGTAGAAGCCCCAATGCCCAAGGCCTCTGCACAGACCAATTAAATGAATCTCTGGAGGTGGACCTAGGCATCAGTACTTTGTAAAGATTCCCAGGTGATTCCAATGTGCAGCCAAGGTTGAGAGCCTGTGATTTAAAGTGTGAGACAGAGAATCCCCATTCCAGCCACATGGCAAACTGTGCTAACGGAGAACCTTCTCATCACTACCCGGGTCCTTCCCCCCAAACCCAGCCTGCCCTTGCTTCAAACATGAAGAAGTGCTGGATTAATTGGCGGAGGTATCACATACCTGAACATCAAATGAGGACAGGGAAATCCTCAAGGTTCAGAACTTTAAGAGACACAAGAAACAAAGCAGTAAGCCGTGGGGAGATTAAACGGAGATACTGCCATGCATGTCTAGAGAGCTCAGGTTTTAAAATCCACATCTAGACAGAAGACATGGCAATGGGTAGGTTTAAGGGTGGGGGGCTAGAACTGACACTCCTTCATGAAGACACAGTAGAAGATATATTTACCAAACCGCCGAGTCAACTCTGACTCATAGCGACCCCACAGGACACAGGAGAAGTGCCCCATAAGGTTTCTAAGGACTGGCTGATGGACTTGAACTGCCGACCTTTTGGTGAGCCAAGCTCTTAACCACTGCGCCACCAGGGCTCCAT